CCCTCCTTTCTCTTTTCTGTCATTTCATCTCGAATAAAGGAAAATAAAGAGAAAGAGAGAGAGAGAGAGAGAGAGAGAGAGAGAGAGAGAGAGAGAGAGAGAGAGAGAGAGAGAATGACAGAGACAGAAAGTCATAGACAAAGAAAAACAGACAAACACATTGAGTGAGAAAGTTTTTTTACTCCTGTTCCTACGTCAGCGAATATAGATATAAAGAAGCGACAGTGTGTGTGTGTGTGTGTGTGTGTGTGTGTGTGTGTGTGTGTTTGTGTGTGTGAGTGAGTGAGCGAATGAGTGAGGGAGTGAATGAGTGAGTGAGTGAGTAAGTGAGTGAGTGAATGAGTGAGTGAGTGAAAGAGTGAGTGAGTGAGTGAGTGAGTGTATATGTGTGTGTGGCCTTGCACTGCATAAAGAGTGAGAAAGGAGAGACGGAGATGATAACAAACAGTCTTTAACACCCCCTCTCCCCCCCCCCCAACCTTTCCATTCGCAACACTCACCGTCCTGATAAGCCCCTAATCCCCCCTCCCCCCTTCCCCCCTACCCCTACGCTCCCCACCAACTCCTTCTCCATCCTCACGCCCGACGTTAGGCTACTTAATGGATTCTGACACTGAAAAAGTAGGAAATAAATAAAGAAATAAATATATGAATAATTTTTCGATGTCAGAGCTGCTCATATTAACTGATATTCACATATTCCTTAAAAGTCAGTTTTTTTTTTCTATTAAAAAATAAAAATAAAAATAATAATAATAATAAAATAGTAATAATCATAAAAAATGTGATGTGAAAAATAAAAAAGATTCCCCTTTACTAACCCGTTTTCTATTTCAAAATGCAGAGAGCCAAAAAAAAGGAAAGTATTGCTCAGCGCTTAAAAAAAAGAAAATAAAAAAAGTTCACTGAAAGACTATATTATCTTCGGAATAAATTTATTTTGTGCATTGCAGGTATTTGTTTTTTTTTCTCAATTTTTTTTTTCTTTTCTTTATTTTTCTTCTTTGTTTTTGTTTTTGTTTCTGTCCGTCTTCTCCCCCCCCCCCCCTCTCGTCCTTTCACTCCCCTCCCCCTCTCTCAATGCAAAAACCCAGTACATGTATCTCTTCATATCTTTGTTTATCAATATCCTTATTAATTTATACACCCATTTTCATCCATTTATTTATTTATCTATTTATTTATCCGAGACTTTCCCTGTGCCTCGTTATTCTTCCCTTCCCTGTCTCCTCCTCACTCGCCGCGATCATAAAACGTGTTTGTGTTTTCGGCCGATAAGAAAACGGCAACAGCATCCCCCCCCCACCCACCTATCCCCCCTTTTAAACCCTTCCTCCCCCTTTGCCCTTCCCCTCTCCACCCCTCTCTGACCTCCCCTCTCCCCTTCTTCCCTTACCCTACCCGTCCCCTCGTTGTCACCACCTCTTCTTGCCCTTACTGGACCTTCCCTTCCCCTCTCCTCCCTAAGCCTCCGCTCCCCTCTCTCCTCCCCTTCCCTCCCCTCTTCATCTCCTCTTTCTCTACGCCTTCCCTCCCCCTCCCCTCTCCTCCCCTTCCCTCCCCTCTTTATCTCCTCCTTCTCCACGCATTCCCTCCCCCTCCTCTCCCTTCCCCTTCCCCTCCCCATACACACTTCGGCAATAATCCTTATCCCTTAGCCTAGTCTCCCCTCTCCCTCCCCCCCCCACTCCTTCCTATCTCTTTCCTCTCCTCTCCTTTTCTTAATATCCTTTCACCCTACCCTCGTTCACCCTCTCCACTTTTTTAATACTCTTTCACCCCCCCCCTCCATATCCCCTTCCCACTACTCTTAACCCTCCCTCCCCCCCGCACCCCTCCTTCCTGTCAACACTAACACCTCCCCCTTCCTGAGGTCAACGCCTCTCCCCTCCTCCTCCTCCTCCACCTCCCCTTCCTCCTCCTCCACCTCTTCCCCTTCCTCCACCCTCCTCCCCTTCCTCCTCCTCCACCTCTTCCCCTTCCTCCCTTCCCTCCATCCTCTTCCCTTTCCTCCACCCTCCTCCTCCTCCTCTTCCCTCCTTTCCCCCTCTCCCCCCCTATCGGTCAGCCAAGGTTCACCAACAACAAACAGAAAGACGCACTTATTCCGCGTCTCAGACATCTGGTTACGTTTTAATCACTGCTAAACATGAAGGATGTTGTTGTTTTACGTTCATTCATAAAAAAGAGGGGGGGGGGTGAGGGAGAAGGCTGATGGACAAAGAAGGAGAGGAAAGGAAGAAGGGAAAGAAGAAAGGAAGATGGAAGGATGGAGAGGAAGGGAGGGAGGAAGAAGGGGGAGGAGGAGGGAAGGAGGGAGGAAGAGGAGGAGGAAGAGAGAGAGAGAGAGAGAGAGAGAGAGAGAGAGAGAGAGAGAGAGAGAGAGAGAGAGAGAGAGAGAGAAATTGAGAGAGAGAGAAAAAAAAAATTCAGCCTGTGAATTAACAATAATTCAAGTCTTTCGTGCTCTGCGCATATCAGCCAAGTGAGCGACGAACAC